ACTCCGTTCACTTCGGTTTTTCTAGATCTTACACATACGGTAGGACTCCTTGGGCGAGTGATCAGCTCGTCGCAAGGCCTCTACCTGTAGACAAACACAGAAAAACGCACACAAACATCCATGCCCTGAGTGGGATTCGAACCCACGATCCCGGCTTCCGAGCGAGCGAAGACAGTGCATGCCTTAGACCGCTTGGCTACCGTGACCGGCGTGTGTATATGTATATATACCTAAATGTAAGGTAAATTTGTCCCTGTGCTTAATTGATTAAGCACTACGCCATGAAGACGTATGGGGGAGTGGATATATAGATCCATATTTTCTTGACTTCGGCAGTATCTATAGGTGAGTGGTCAGCTTCACGCCCCGGCTTTACCCCCGGGGAAAGAGCCCCCGGTGCCCCTGGGATGTGAGGCTGGGTGGGCTCCAGAGTCGGTCTGGACGACGTGGAGAAGAGAAAATTCTTGACCCTACCGGGGCTCGAACTCCGAACCCTCGATCGTCCAGCCCATAGCCAGTCTCATTACCCACTACGCTATCCCAACTTCACACTGTATATATACCTACATATTTTATTGTTTACATCACAGCTGCTCTCTTGATGAAGGAAACGATGTTCCAGCATTGCTGGCATGATACAATAGGAAGTAGCGAACAAACTCTGTTATTTTTTCTGTTTTATGCGATGAAAATATTTTACAATGAAAAACTATATTTTAACAGCAAATTACATTTCTGAAAACGTGTCTATCGTAGTAAGTACATAACCGCGCTCTGTAGATTAATAGTAGGGAATGGTGCGTCCTTTGCACGTAGCGAGCCAGAATTATGGCTAACTACATTCTCTTGCACAAAATAGGAGCGGGACAGAAAGTCTCTTGTTAACACATAACGAACCGCTGTAAGTGTGTTTTTAGTACCGACATCCGCCCTCACTGGGAACTTGTTTGGTATTCCATTATTTCGTGAAAGCCAGGACTGGTTGATTACCCTTTTGGGAACAGCAGTGAGAAAGCTGAGCACTGATCCATAGTCCTCGGAAATCCAAGAAATCCTTTCTTTCGAAGAATTATTTGTGATTATATTCATATTTAATTAGCTTTATAACTGCACTCGAAGTCTCATAAGTACGACTGTATGTACAGGCCTACAGCTGAATTTCCGATTGGTGTGTTTAAACCCCTACAGGCTGGTGCTAACTATGTGTAAAACGTACTATAATTTTCGAGCAATTTACCTGTCTCCCTCTGAATATATTTGTGGTTATATATGATTGTTAGAATAAATAGCCAAACGTTTACTACACATTGTTAAAGACTGAGTTTATAACGGCGCAACAATCTGGTTTCTTGGAGACAGGAACCAAACTTTTAAATATTATTCAGTTGGGCTTCTTCGTCTAAGAGTTTAAGTCCTAAATGTGCAAATAATTAATATTTCAGAATACTCCTTGGTAGTTATACGTTGATATGTTACTTTTTACATGTGCACATTATCAGTTTCTGGTCTGGAAGAAATATGTGCTTTAGAATCCAATGTTTGTTTTCTTCGCCGAAATTCATATTAGGCAGTCAAGAAATAACATTTTCAATGAAAAAAAAAATACTTCTTAAAACTTCTGGACCGCAAACTTACATAATTATAAAGTTTTAAGTTTTTAAAATTAAGTTAAATTTCTTATGCATATTTCAGTGGAATTCCATTAATCGGTTAACCAATAGGCCACCGGCGTTAGCACAAAATTATATTATTCAAAGTGTATACTTCAGTCGAGTTCACAATGCTTATCACAGTTAAGTATTTTAAACGAACTTCTAGCGTCACAGATCTTAAGAAATCCACAAAACACGAAAGTTCTTGTGAATAGTGCTCCTTGTGACTGATGAGAGGACTTAACGACTTCATAGAATAAGAGAACATATGTATTTTAATGAGTAACACTGCGCGGGGAGTGACAAGGCAGAGCGCCACACGTTTCCAGCCGCGGCGAACTGTCAACATACGTTAATTACTTACATTGCTATGGGAGCCAGTTGTCTGCCCTCTTCGGTAGCAAAATAGCATTTGGACCAGTGTACTCCTTCCGTAACAGTTGTTTTGAAATCGTATGTCACCTTTAAAACACTTTCGTTTCAGATGATTCTGACGGTGTTATATAACCTCGAGATCACTGAGTTTTTGGAAGTCGTCCGTAGTAGGGAATTCTGAAGGACACATCGTTCCGGAAACTGGATCTGTTTCCGTCCTTAGGTGAGGGTGTCACAAGGGAAGGACACAACACAGGACACAATATACACGAGAATATAGGAAGAGTACTCCCATGGGAGAGGATTGACGTAACTCGCGAATTTTTAGTGCGACGTATAGATGATAAATCTTGAAAAGTTTTAATATATAAACTTTATTATTATACATGACATATATACATTTTAATCATTTTATAAAGGAGACATAATGGCATACAGTGCAATGGTTTGACGTAAATAAAGCCACACCTGAAGATGACACATTAATGCCGAAACATGTAGTGAAGAGAAAGGTGAAATTTTGTACACTGTAAGACGGTTAGTACAAATACACATCATGAACGTGTCGAAGGGGCCTACTGTGTTAGGTCCGCTAAAGAGAGCTAACCTCAGACATCGGTCCAGTGACTCTAAGGGACCCAACAGAATAGGTCCCTCCCAGCCTTTGGCCTGAGGACTGAAACAGATGCAGTTTCGGAAACATTGTGTTCTTCACAATACTGGACAATGTTCGAAGTCCAAGAAGTCATTAATCCCAAGTAGAGTTTGTAGGTCTATTTCGGTAAGTGGGAAACCTAACACACTGGAGCTGTGAAATCTGTGTGGGTAGAAGCACACTGCAAGAGCGTCAGTTTAAGTGCATGAATATCATGTTATCTCGACATAATCACCTCCGGACTTGGTATGAAAAGCACATGGCAAACCACATTTCCGTATCCGTTATCGGCACCGTGAGGCGTAACTTTCCTCCCCTGATGACTTCCGGTCATCGCCGTGACCAGTTACATACACCAGGTCGTACAGCATGAGACATGTTTCGAGCGACGAATTTGAGAATTGTGTATTCGTTCAAGAAAAAATACGGCTTACATAGGATCTATTTGATACTGGCCTGTTTTTATTTTCTTGATACAGAATCTCCTGCTAATCCTGTATTTCTAATTATATTATAGTGCTCGTTTTAATGGTATGATTACATAGAAGTATTGGAGATAAAAATATTTCATAAAGATAATATTACGTATTGTTGGGAAATGTATACTCGTACATTAATTTAAAGAAGAATGAATGCTTGTAAAATTTGTCCTAATAAGGGCGAACAAATTTATATAAATTTCTCTTCAAATTTTGGAGAATTTTCTTTAACATACACTTATACAGTTTAGGCTTAGTGTATACAGAAGAACATTAGAGCTATTAAATTAATTAAACAGGTCGCAATGTCAAATTTTGTTTAATATTTATCACACAGAATGGCGTTTTTATAATTCCAGTATGTCAGTGCAGTTTTGCAATTTTAAATATAACAATAATAACTTATCTTTGATCTGAGGTTCTCACATCGGTGGCTCTGAAGAGTCGTGTCCTTTTGGACATAAAGCCTCGTAGTTCATTGAAAGTGAACCTAGATTCCGGAAGAACATGTTGCCTCCATTCTCGCTGTCGAAGAATAAGCCAAGCAAGAAACCAACATGAAGCAGGCAACTATCTCTTTCTCATTTGACTTTCAGCAGACAACACAGCGTTATATCCCAAGAGGTAGAACCCTTCTCATCCCAGCTTCTTCTAGAACGTCTTACATTTCTGTGACCTATAGTTAGGCCTGTCTTGTTAAAATAAATAGTCTTAATATGTATCCCCCCCCCTTTATCCGTTTATTCTTGGATACCTTCTTCCGTGTTATATTTTCTTGTACGCTCTCTTTTACTGTAATTTGCGGCTGATACGCGCACCAATCATATACACTTGGCTTGCAAGGAAGTGAAGGGGGAGCGCAGCAAGGAAGTGTGGAAATTACAGTGTTGCCAAATGTAACATTCTGGAATCTTGATTTTCACTGGGTGAGAATTGTTCTGTTAAAAGTATTTACACGCAAATAATCAATTATGAATCGACAAAAGCGACACTGCGTGTGATAATTAGTTGCCCATCGCAGGTTGCAGCCACGGACTGCGGCTCGCAACAGTGAACGTTTGCCAACATACTACAACGCAGTTCGGCTGCGCTTCTGAACAGGCTCACTTCCTTCCGTTCATCAACAGACTTTCTTTGCGCTGATTCGTCACTCACTAAACGCAGAAGTCGATTCGGATGCAAATTCATATAAAAACACTATGATTCACTGACTCTTGAATTACACGTGGTTAAACTCGCTGTCATAATTTCTGTTCTATCACGTTTCAGGTCCAGGTTTGACACCAACATTATTAATACTAGGACTGTTATTGCTTTTCGCAAATTTAGCTGTTTTTTCTGTATTGTAGTCTATGCAGTTTGTTAACCAGATCGTCATCATACTGTACACTGCATATCAGCCCAAGTAATTGAAGTATGTTGCTTGTTTCGTGTTACTGTTATACTGCACCAATATTTCATACGGAAAACTAACCTTTCTCTGTTCTTTAATAACAGAAGGATAACTTCTTTGACCAATACAACTGGGAAATTAATGTTAACTTTATCAAATATACGTACATGAATTAAACTGAGAAACCGTCTGAAGGGTTACTCACGAAATCATTCTCAGGTTCAGCTAAACTATTATTGTTATTGTTTTTGTAACAGAACATGATTTTAAGCCATGATCAGTACCATACCTGACTCAATTTCGCTTGAGAAGAATTTTACCTTTCTGTGTACAATTATGTATCTAATTACAGAATATATGTCTATTATTTGTACATAACTCACATGTTCGTACTTCAATACTATCAGTCTTTCAGTGTCTGAAACACATTCATCTCTGATTTTCAGGTAATCATCCATCAGTATTCGCTTGTGAAGTTTGTCTTCCTGTCGCCAGAGGTGTTGGTAATGTATATATCACTTGAGTTCATTTGTACCCTCTTTCTTCATATGTACAATTATATGATCCGTGTTTTACGCATAGTTGAATAAATACAACATTACAAGAAACACTGATTTATTAGATATTACTTCCGCGTTTTCTTCTTCTTCGGTGGCATGGGAGACAAACGCGGTCGTAGGGCTCTCATTTGTCGGGTTTCGAAATCCTATTTGCAGACATTTAGTCACACCCTTTAGATAGGGGATCGGCTCGTCGCCAGGCCACTACCTACACAGGGAGAACATAGACGCACATCCATGAAGGAGTTGCATTCGAATCCACGGTCCAAGTGTTCAGCTTGTTATCTACAGCTCGCTATTAAAATAGAGTAGACCTTCGTATATACTGGTAAGAGTAATTCATTGTGAATATTAATTACGATTTGCGAAGTGAAAATGTTTAATAGTGAGGTTTCATCGCATATCACTTCGATCATTACTGTGGGGACAGTACGTTTGATTTTTCAATTTTGAATAAAACACATTACCAGGAATCTCTCAACGTTTGTTAATAATTCGAGGTTTGAGGTTTCCATGACGATGAATATTCATTTTGTGTTCCTCTGGCTCATGGCTTTCGCTTTTTGGGGTAAATGTTCGCTCTGTCAGTTTCGGAAATAACGGTATGGGGACGTCTTCAAATTTACTTAATTTTACCCTGAAGATTGAGAAATTATAATCTTCCGATACTTATAAAATTAACCAGAAAGAACGGAAAATGAGCAGTTGTAACATAAATAATAAAGAATTGAATTGATTTATTATTATCCTCACATATTAATGATAACTTCAGTTTTTTTATGAGATGATCATTTACTTGTTACTGTTATACAGACAGCCTTGTTTTGTATTTTTGTTAGTAAGCTTGTGTCGTTCTGCCTACTCGTGCTAACTTGTAATTAGCTTCTGGGCTGTTAAGTTGGCACGTAAATAAACTAGACATATTATTATTATTATTATTATTATTNTTATTGAACTCTTACGAACAGTAGGGTGAAGCATGCAATGCAGTGATGACTTGAGGGGTAGAATGAATGTTATCAATAATTATGCTTTTGTATTGGTACCACTAAAGTCATTTAAAACTCGATATCTTATTTATGAACAAAACTGATAATTAGATTGCTAACTGTGTGATACAGATATGCGGTCTACATGGCGATAATAGGTAAATTCCGATGTAATTATTAAATTACTTTTTAAATTGTTTTCAGAATTTTTATCCTTGGCACTACAGCCCCAGTGAGCATAGGCCTACCTCCATGAACTTCTCCGTTCACTTTGGTTTTTCTAGATCTTACACATTCGGTAGGACTCCTTGGGCGGGTGATCAGCTCGTCACAAGGCCTCTACCTGTACACAAACACAGAAAAACGCACGCACACAAACTAAACATCCATGCCCTGAGTGGGATTCGAACTCACGATCCCGGTTTCCAAGCGAGCGAAGACAGTACATGCCTTAGACAGCTCTGCTACCGTGACCGGCCTTTTCAAAATTATATTAAAAGATTTATATTATTTGTGTACTGTTCGATACTACTTCGATGCGATTCGGCTCGGTAAACACACTTCCACGTAGGCGCAGTGACGTCACGTTCCAACAGTACTAGCTATCACGTGACTTGTATTCTGTGTTGTCCGTACGGCGCCCATATAATAATGATCTGTATTGGCTGAAGTTGATGGCGAGCCCAAGAGGATTCAGCAGTTGAGAGAACAAGGAAGAATTGAGTGTCAAGTGTGAAGGCTGAGTTTAGATTAGGACAGAGGAATACAAAGTGATTGAAGACAAGAAAACTCCATAATGATTTGAAGTGCTAGTTTTTGTATTGAGATCCGTTGCCAGGAGACGACTAGTGAAGACTGGGAATCCCAGTGCGTGTGCAACGTCGAACTGGAAAGTGTGCAGAAACAGCGATAGCGCTGTATTAACTGTAATTGTTGTAACTGAGAGAGATTGAAACCGAAGTGCCAGTAAATCCAATCATCCGAACTAGAACACACAACTATTCGCCACGAGTACCACTCTACACATAAACAATATATACATAAATACCATGTAACCGTCCTAATATAAGGATGTAAATGAAATTAATTGGCGTGTATTTGTAATCAACTGCGTCGAAACAACTGTTTCTTTTTTAATTTTCGTAGTTATAGTTAACGATGTAGAGTTTCTTACGTGGTGTCTGCCTGACAGCAAAATCTGACCTACACATCGCTCCTGAAGGACCTAGAACCCGCGATCACAGTTTCAGACTAACACAACGCCTTATGCCGGGCAGAAACTTATGCATATCGTAGTCTGAAAGAAACACCAAACGGGCGTTGCCTAGTGTAAGCTATATTTGCATATAACTGCATCTTTGGTTTCGTAGTGCTTTACATTCGGGAGGGTCTACTGTGAAAGCCTGGGGCCCAGAACACGGCACCTCGCGTGTCCGTGCGTGTGACCCTATTTGCAAGGGAACACTGCATAAAAGTATAGTCAACAACACGTAAAAATGAATTCTGTCATACCTGGGGCGTCGTTATTGTATTACAGAAATAACGACGCACGCCTTTGTGATATACAGCATTGAGTTCTAAATGAACGCTTGGCTTAAATGCAGGCGTGCGTGTTTAGTTCAGCTGTAGCGCGGAGCGAAGACAGATGGCTGTAATGAAATAAGCCTAATTTATTAATTCTTCTTAAATTTGTAGATGAACCTAGGTGATAGGAATAAGAAATCAGATAATTGAACTGTTTATGTGTATAAGACCGCCTCTGTGGTCTAGTGGTCAGAGTTCCAGGCTACCGATCCAGAGTTCCGGGTTCGATTGCCGGCTCTACCAGATTTTCTGAGAAGTTGTGGGTCTGGAACGGGTTCCACTCAGCCTCGTGAGGATAATTGAGGAGCTATTTCAATGAAATAACAGCTCCGGTCTAGAAAACCGAAATTAACTGCCGTGGGGATTTGTTACACTGACCACGCGACACCCTCTACCGCTAAAGTTGGCACTAACTTCGCCGACAAGCTGTGGTAGCTCGGTCGGTATAGTTCGCTTGCGGGCTAAAACCACGGAGTAGTTTCTTTATGTGTATAAACACTTGCTGTAGATCGGTGCAAATATAATGAACAGTTAACCTGAAGGCTCAGTTACAAATGTAAGATGTTCCTTTTAAGAAGAAAGCAACTCAATCACATACTTCCAGTCCCCCAAGTCTCGGGTTCTTAATATCTTGTTCAGGTAATGCAGAGATTGACAAAACCGTGGGATACAATGTAGCTCATGTTAGCAGATGGTATCGTAGTCGAGTAAAATTTCTCTATAATTTGAAATTGCAAATATGTTACCTACCACTCGGCGCTACAGCCCTGGGTGAGCCTTGACCTCTACAACCAGTCTCCACAACCCAGCGTGCTGCCATAGGAATGGACCCACGCATGATGACCCGAGGCTGGTTGTTAGGTTTCTGAACAAAATTCTTTTTACAGGAATAGGTTGTTAGCCTCATGTCCAACCGTAAACCACAAACCTGGAAGACTAGGGTATCTCTCTTACTTTGGACTCTACCCTTTGACTTTTCAGGCATGGGTGACTCTACTGTTAGTTAAACTACCGCCGGCGTAGCTCTCCAGGTCACAGAGTCAAAGCCCCACCACCACGACAAGGTGGAGACACCTTGGGGGGTTATTTTTGTTGGTTATTTCACGATGCTCTCAGTGGCTTCTAATGGTAAATTATATATGACTGATGAATTGGAAGGTTTTAAAAGGAGGCAGTTGTGACGTAATCGAAGTACAATTTCGGATTTTCCTCGGAAGCACTGAGAAAGACCGTGAAAACTTCAGTCGCAATAGTCTGTCTCGGCCGAGATTCGAACCAAGCACCAGACAGTAGCGTTACCGCTGCGCCAGCCGTCCGGTAGCATTATTGTTGTTACTGTAAAGGTAAAGTTATCCCTGTGCTTAACTAATAAAGCTCTACGCCATGAAGGCGTAGGGTAGAGTGGATATATAGACCCACATTTTCTTCACCTCGGCACTAGCTGGAGGTAAGTAGTTAGTTTCACGTCCCGGCCGCTTTACCCCTGGGGAAAGATCCCCCTGTGCCCATTGAATAGGAGGTTGGGTGGACCCAAGAACCGGTCTGGACGACGTGGAGAAAAGAAAATTCTAGACTCTAAAGGGGACTCGAACTCCGACCCCGCTGTCGTCCAACCATAGCCAGTCGCTATACACACTGCACTATCGCGAACATTGTTGTTATTGTTGATATTATTATGGGATTAGTATTTATGTAATTATTATGAAATTGATAATAATGATAATAGAGAAGGAACTTATTTTGTTTTGTTTTTAAATTTATTTCTTTGATCAGCAATCAGAATATACATTCTATAAGCTAATGTTGTGGCTGTTTAGATGACTAGATGAGGAGTCGTCCAGCCGCGAATCCTCAGTAATTCAAATCAGGTCAATTGGCCAGTTTCGTTTGAGTCGTCTGTTGTCTTCTCTTGTCGATAGCGTCTTTAGGAGCGGGTTTTTATGAGTTATGATTTTGTTGTGATGTCTGTTGCTTTTTTGTTGGATGACGTCTTGTACGGGAGATATACCGAGATCGGTGTGAAGAGTTACGTTGGAGACATACCGTGGTGCGTCGACTGTCATTCGTAGGATCTTAGATTGGCTTCTTTGGATTATTGCTGTGTTGGATTTGCTGGCGCAACCCCATAGTTCCAGGCCGTACGTCCAAATAGATATGATTATAGTCTTATAGATCAGAACTTTATTTTCAACTGTTAGCTTTGTTCTTTTAGGGATCTTTTGGGTTCTTCAGTTTATACTCCAGCAGATGTTGGGATAGTATCTCGAATTTGGCCATAACCACTTCCTTCCCCTTATTCCCATTACATTATTCAGTAATTGCTCTACCATTCTCCTAGGCATAATCTGCGCTGTTAAAAGCATCGTTGAA